CATGTCCCCCCAGAGTGTTCTGCTACATCAGCCTCTGGAAGGCCAGCATTGCTGGCTGCCTCCCACAGTGACTGAGGCTTGCCAGTAACCCAACATGTTCACTCTTAGTAACCCAACATGTTCACTGCAGTGGACTCACCTGTGAGCCGTGCTGTCCTATCCCTCGTTCTCCCAGGAGGTGGGCAGGTACTCTCAGCTCGTCTTCCGAAAGCCCTGTAAGAGGTTGTAGTTACCACATCTCTGCTCTTGAAGGGGCAGTGAGTGAGAACCTCGTCTGGGTCTCAGTAGACAAAAGTGAGAATAGATCTCAGGAGGTGAGGAAGGAAGAGGACCCAGGCAGGAGGTCAGAGTGAGAGACAGTTTCTGTGGGCAAAGTCTCTTCACTTACAAGTTGAGAAAAAAAAATTTCCAGGCAAGGCTAGGATGGCCTGGCTTAGGGAAGCTGTGCTGGGGCCCAAGTCACCTCTAGGAGCAAGGCGGGTGACATCACACACGCACTTCTGTGTCTGTGCTTTGGGGTTTACTCCAAACATGCTATGACTTTGTTCCCACCAGCATGTAGACTGATATGGGGAAGAATGTCCTATAAACTTGCCCTTGGGAATTCTGGGCCCCTTTGTTGGTGAGGGTGGTGTCATGGAGGGTTGCTACCGATGAGCCAGGGACACAATCGTTAGTATGAGCCTTGCAGCATTTGGACACACACAGGCACACATATGTGCATGTGCCACATAATTTTTACACCATTGACATATTCCAGAATCATCTGATAATGTAGCCTGATTTGCATTGAAGATCTTTAATGATTTTATAATATTCACCCAAGAAAATTATAAAGTGGTTCCGCAGCATATAATGTTTATTTGAATATTTAATAGGGGTTTCTGGAAATCTATATTATCCTGCATTACTCACACTGCTAGGTGACTTGCTGCTTTATTTGGAGGGCAATGCACTTAGTAATCTTACTACACATAAAAATAATTCTTCATAGAGGATATAGTTAAGCCTCAGCCAGGATGTCCTGAGGTGTGGGACTTGATATAAAGTGTATGGGGTGGGAATTATATTGATAAAAGCATTTGATTCCTGAGACAAGCCACCAATCCTTCTAACTCACGGGTCTGAAAAGATTGCCTCTTCACGGTGCCCCCAGAACACAGCACAAACTCACCACAGATACGGGTCAAAGAGGCCCACTTTTATGAGATGATCTTCTTGGAGTTTGTTGAGAGCCAGATCAGCCTGGAGCCGGGAAGAGGCAATAATCAGACAAAATTTGGGGTGTGGGGCTGAAAAAAGGGAATTGTGCTTTCTCTGTTTCTTTTCTCTGTGATTTCATAATAGGAAAGATAAAATCCACAGGTCAATTGCAGGATGGAGCCATAAGGAGAAATCAGGGAACACACTTATGGGCCTACTTATGTGTGTACAAAAGTGTCTCCAGGGTGGAGCCTTAAAACAGTGCAAAGGCTAAGAACAGGTCACGGTGGGTCCTCACCCCTGCACTCCTGATTCAAGACCCCACTCAGGCTCATGGTGCAGCAACAAGGGGTTTATTAACAAAGTGGAGACTGGGAAAAACGTTTTCTTTTTTTTAAAGATTTATATATTCATTTATTTATACAAGCACTGGGTACAGTCAGAAGCGTAGGAAGGTGAGGTAATTCACCAGAGACAGAGTGGGGAAGAGAACAGGCAAACTGACGAAACACACTGCTGAGGGGAGCAGCGGGAGAGACAGGAGAGGTCTGTCGCACCATATGGACCCTTGCAGGTGCCCGGGGATCGAACCAGCACTGCAGAGGCTGCAGGCAGCCTTGCAGCCCAGCACTCAACCACTGTGACACCAGGGGAGACCCGAAAAAAAGAGCTTCTAGGCCACAAGTTGCGAGCTCTCCTAGCCCACAGTGTCCACAGTGTCCAGCAGTCCAAACCCAAAGGCTGCTTGTATAAGATGGCATCCCTTTGATGAGGGCCTGAAGCCAGTTGCACACCTGTAAGTGGTGCACCAGGATCCAACTCACCTTGAGAACTGGAGGTAACTGCAGGGGGTGCTGCTGAGATGGTCCCACAGCAGCAAGCAGCACCTCTCTGGAGGCCAGGCTGGCCAATGACAGATGCCACAATGGACAGTACCAGAGAGGATAGAGGAAGGTAGTGCTAGAGAATCCTAACAGCAGACCTCTCTCAGAGATACAGGTCAGTGTTGCTGGTCAGCACTGGTCAGCATGCAATGGTGCCAGAGAACAGGCCCAGTATGACAGCCATTTGAGTGATGTTGGCGTAATCCAACAGCAGACAACCCTTTTGGAGACACTGGGCACAGGCCAGTGTTACAATTCTACAGGTAATGCTAGGTTAGGGATGGGGGCAGGAGCAGCAGTAAGGATGCAGTTTGAAGTGGAGATCGGATGTCAATGTCTGAGGAGGTCTGAGTGTTGATGAAGCTTCCCAGTGAATGTCTGGACCAGTTTATCCAGAAGTTCCCACTACCCATTCATCAGGTATCTGCAGGGACAGCAACAGCCAGGGTCAGAAGCTATTGCAATCTGGGGAATTGTGGCCATTTGCCTCACTGACATCCAGTGCTCTTGGCAAGTAAAACATATTATCTGTAAAGAGAGCAATGAAACACACCAGAGTTTGTGGAAGGTAAAGCATACAGTTTTGTCATCATAGACCTATGACTCACATTTTGGCCTTCTATAGCACAAACTTGTAGGCAAATAAATCTCGAATGACAAGGCAGGAGTGAGAAGAGGTAGCACTGTGGTGCCTGGGAGCTTGCAGGAGACTGCAGTGACTCCTGATGTGTGGGACAGAGGTCAGAAAGGTCAGTGATCCCAAAGGGGGAAAGACTGGGAGTTAGGGGAGTTCATGGGACGCTCTGCTGAGGCCCAATGGTGATGTGAGTGTCCTGGATGAACATAAGTCCCCCGATAATAGCCTTGACTTACAGCAAGAAAACAGCTGGCTCTTTGGACGAATAAGCACCCAGCACCTGCTGGGGACAAAGCAGGCCTCTTCAGATTGCATCTTCGAGGTTCCAAGTCTAGATGCTTCTTCTGCCCACAGTGATTACTTACAGGACCCTCTCCAACTATTACCATCTTTCTCTAAACAGGCGTAGTTTGCCAAGGCCGTGCCAGGCCAATTTTAGACCTAGGGACCTGTAGGGACCAAGTGAAACTAGGCTGTCCTCGAGGACCCACCCACCCTGGTGGGCACACGCTGAAGTGGTGAGCAGATGATAAGCATCCATGAAGTGTTAGATCTTTGGCACTCTTTGCGACAATGTCATCGGGTATTGTATGCAGTTGTCTGATGGTTTGTTTTGACCTGGAAGATTAAGCAACTGCCAACCAAACCCTGCTGTTGAGCATGCTGCTGAGAGAACACAGAGGATGCAGGGCTGGCCTTATCTGTCTTCTGTAGGAAAATAAAGTGTTAATGTTGTTTTGCCGGGGACATTGGAAGTTGTGCCTTTTGACCCCCTGATCCGGGAGCCTGGCTAGCGCCCGGACCAGGAGCTAAAAATAGGGCTGGTTATGTAACTGTTCACGATATTCGGGACCACCAAGAAATATGGCTGGATGTGTAATCTCGGGGTGTCGTGCACAGAAACGTGACCAGCCCACCATGAATCCCTGGGTTTGGATACTGGCCATATCCGACCTTGGGAGATAAAAACACAGTGGTTGCCTAGCTAATGCTGCTTGCAGCTGCTGGACGTCTCCCATGCTGTTCTCCAGAGTGCTGACTCTTTGCCTCCGTGATGCTGATTTCTAAAGAAACTGTACAGTATGTATGCATGATAATCAGTTTGGTCACATTTGGGGCACTGTTTATAATTTTGCTTGTGCATCGCCTGTGTTGCTCACACAATAAATCCTTTTTCCTTTTAATAAGGTGTGGTCATTAAATCCCACGGAATCGAGTCTCCCTCAAACACCTGTGCACAGCGCTAGCAATCATTTTTTCATTGCTAGTTACAGTTCGTGTTGGATCTTGCTTCAGTTTTTTAAGAAAAGAAAAGTGATTCTAAGTGTACCCTAGCTGTGATGGGGAGATGGACAACTGTTCTGCGAACAAACGAATGAATGTTGCACACAATGTGTGCATGCTACACTTATTAAATAAATCCAATTCACTGACATGTATTTTAATCCTAATATACAGTATGATCCTTGGAACTCAACCATGTCCTAACTGATCTTTAAAACCCAAATAAATATGCTGGCAAAGTTGATGCCAGCGTATACAGTAACAAGCGTCTGTTTCATGATGAGTGTATGGGGGATGTAATGCATATACAGCTGGGCTGTGCATCTTCAGTTCTGGAATATAACTGATGCTCCCCTTTAGCATCTCAAAGTGAAGCACATGAGCCTCCCATAACTGTCCTTTACACCCCTCTGGCCCCCAAACCCTCCCACTGGTTAAGTCCAGGACTTCCCCTGCTCTTAGGTGTTTCCAAAGACTCCAGGGCCAGAGCACCATCCTGTCCGCCTGGGTCAGAGAATCTCAATGCCCAACAGCAGGTGCTCTGAAGACCTGGAAAAATTACTCACCACTCAATGTCCTGCCAAGACACAGACAGCACTCAGAGACCCTCTGGGGCCCTCAGAGGCCACTGCTGCTGCTACTGCTGTCATGATGCTCCCCACCCAATCTGGAGGCTCTCTTGCTGGCATCCTCCAACCACCAGGATGCCTTCTTCCTGGCTTCCTCCTACACCAGGTACAGGCTGTCTGGGGGCTCCGGCTTAGGCTGTCTGAGGAGGTCTTTGGCACGACTTACAGCCAGATGAGTGGCCTGGCCTCCCCGGGGTCTGCAGCAGCCTGCCTTGTTCAGCAGGCCAAGGCCCAGACTCAGACCCCAGGCCCAGACTCATACCCAGATGTACTGTTGACCCTTTGCCCTTGGGATAGTTCTGTGGCTACCATGTTTCCTATCTTTCTAACCTCACCAGGATTCTTTTTTTTTTTTTTTTATTTCAGGGACCTTGATCCCATCTGTGCATGGACTTGCACAAGGTAACAATCCAAGGCCATCGGGGTCTCCCCAGAACAGAGGTCACTCGGAATCTCAGGGAAGAAGTGTAGGGGGCCTGTTGCTCTTCCCTTTCCTAGAGCCCCTGGGCTCTACACGCTATGCCCACTGTTGCCAGGCAAACTGCCAGCTTGGCAAGGACATCACTTCATGACAGAGAATAAATCAGTTCCCTGACTTAGCAGGTTACCACACTTTATTTAAAATTAGGATCGGTCTATTTTATTTACATTTCATTTTGTTTTGTTTTACTCATTACTTTTTGGCTATTTATTTTCTCAACAATGTTTTTCATGGCTTTTCAAAAGACAACTGGAATAAAACGAGGTATCTTTTTTCAATTCTACAGCCCAGGAAAGTGAACAGAGAGAGGTTCAATTTCAACCTTGCCCTGCAGGGGGCAGACACTGCGCTGACCTGGAAAGAGAGACCCTACCCCCTGGGGCCTGTCTAGGGTGGAGTAAGGCCCTCCAGCCACTGCCGGTACTTATCTGGACACATCTTGCCATTTAGTGTATGCAGATGTGCCCAGCTTTACTCACTGGGGCCTGGAGGTGACAGTAGGAGCCATGGCATTTACTGAATGACCCTGGCCATCCCATCAGCTCCCACTGGATGCACTGATCACACTGCAGGTAGAGTAGAAGGCTCATGAGCTGAAGCCTACTGGACAAACGTGAACTGCAGTTTACAGTTGTTATTACTGGTCATACCTGGGAGAGGTCAGCACAGTCTCATCAAGTGTTGGCCCTTGAGATAGGCAGACAGATTTAAGACATAGAAACACGCTTGATTTTGGGGAGGTGTAGAGCCCAGGCTTTCCAGTACCATTCCCTGTTTCCTGGGTACATTATGCAAATGTTCCCTCTTAATTTCTAATGGAAAAGTCAGATTATTAACCATCCTCACCTCACCACCACAGTTGTTAACATTTTCCATGTGCTCATTTTGATCTGCACATTCTGTTACTCATTGCCTCTCATCTGGTGTGGGACTATTATTATCTTACCTCTGTTGGTCATTTGAAATAAGAGAGGTGAAGCACTTTGCTCAAGGTTAAAAGGGAGAATGCAGGTCTCCCTGGTGGGTTAAAGACAGTGCTATCAAGTTATCGCCAGCCACTACAGCACAAGTTCAATCCCCAGCTCACCAGGGAGAAACCCACATGGTGCAGCAGACCGCTCCCGTCTCGCTTGCTGCTCCTCAGCAGTGTATTTCAATAGATCTGCCTGTTATGCTTCTACTCTCTGGTGAATCCTTTCACCCCCCCCACCTCTGGTCTGTACCCCAGTTCTTGAATGCATAAATAAATAAATCTTAAAAAAAATTAAAGGGAGAATGCACACAGAAGGTGGGGTGGGGTGTGTATGGCACCCAGGAAGAGCCAAACTCATTTGCCACTTCTGCTGGAGTCATGGTCAGAAGAGGAGCTATCACCTATGGGAGGTGGGAGGGATGCAGGCAGGAGGCTCACATTCATATAGTGACCCAACAAGAGTCACTGTCCCCAGCCTCCTGCCTTATGACTTGTACTGCTTTCTTTCTCAGGTGTGACACATATATATATATACACACCATACATGCACCACACCACACAGGCCACACATATATACACACCATGTACATGCACACACACCACAGAAAACCCCAAGACCTTCATACTACATATTACACACAGTACACACACACCACACATACACACACATGCGCGCACACATACACACACACACCTCTCAAGCATCAGCTGACCAAGTTGGACTCATGTGCTTCTCCTTTACACATCTTGAAGTCCTGTCTTCTTCCTTTCTACAGACCTTACCTCCTGGCAATAGATTGTAAGACCCTGAGAATAGTTACCATTCTCTGTGCATCTCGTAGACCCATAAATAACACAAGTCTTCCCAGAGAAGATAGCTGCAGTGATTTTTTAACTTAATTAGCACATGCTTGGGTGAACAATGAAGAGGATATAGGCTGAATTCCATGTATTTATTCATGGTTAACCAGCACACTGAGCTGTTGATCAGCCTCTGTTGTTGTTTGCATAATGGTAGTAGTTTCTCTAGAAGATATGACCAGAAAAACAATGATAGAACATATTTGCAGATTAGTTAGCAAATACAACTTTAGGAGAATTGTTTTTGGCAATATGAGGGGAGGTATGAAATACATTGCAATGGAAACTGAAGGAAAGTAAAAATAATTTAGGCCAGTCATGTAAAGATAGAATCTTCTCTCAGAGGAAAGATAAAAGTCATCCCAATAATACAACTTTCCCACTTAAGGAAATGTTTTCTTCTTTTCCTTTTCTTCCCTGCTGTGCTGAGTCAGGCACTGGAACACAGCAGGACAAGTGTCGTGAACCACCATGGGGCACAGACACATATAAGACAGGATGTCTCAGCTCCTCGTTTGGCCACGCAGTAGAAAACTACTGATGTGTTTTCCTTCTCTATAATTTTGTTATTTCAAGAATATTATATCCATTAAATAATATAGTTTGTAAAATGCAGAGATTATATTTCAACTTAGCACATTCCCTTGAAATTCAAGTAATGTGTGGCAATAGCTTCTTGTTTTTATGAATGGGCGGATTTCTGATATGGATGTATCACAGTTCTTTAATCATTTATCTTTGAAGATCAGTTGGGTACTTTCTAGTTGGGCTTTTAGGAACAAAGATGTCAAGTTTCGTTTTGTTTAATTTCATTTGAGACTTTCTCTTTGACCCCAGGATTACTTAGGAGTATATCGCTTAAATTCCATGTTAGAAAATATCATGCTATCTTTCTTTGATAGATTTCTAGTAGTTTCTTTAGAAGATATGACTGTTCTGATTGGAAAATATATTGTACATAGTTTCAGTACTTTCAAGTTTGTTAAGGTTTGTTTTATGACTTGGAATTTGTTACGTTATTGATAAAAATTCTATGCACATTTTGTTAAATGTTATGTTATAATATTTTTATGTGAAAATAAACTTTCTTTGGGGAAAATGTCATGATCGTGGGCACTTAAATGGATTGTAGATTCTCCTTTTTTACTTGGAATTTTCTCTAAACATCTATTCGATCCTATTGTAAAATGTTATTGTCATGTCTGATTTTGTTCTAATATTTCTGGTAATTGCTGAAGAAATATATTAAAATCCTCAACTATACTTGTGCATTAATCTATTTAGTACTCCTTTTAGCTCTGTCAGTTTTTGCTTCATACATTTTGAAACTTTGTTGTTTGGTGCACACACATCTATATTTCTTCTAAGTCCTGCTGCTACTCTTCTCTTATCCTATGCCTCTGGCCAGACAAAGCATGTTTTTAATTAGTTTGTTGGGTGTTTGGTTCTAGATTGTGGACCTTTCTGGAGCATGTTCTTGGATATATGAGAAATAAAAAGAAAACCCAGGGAAGCCACCACAGCACGTCTCTTCAAATGGTAAGTGCCTTGTTTTTCCCCACCCTCTCAGAGTCCTTTTGAGATTATCTGTTAGATTATTTCTAGGAGTTATCACTAAGTTTGCAGGGAAAGGTTTTATTTTTGTCTCTGAACCAGCAAAATCTTATAATTAAATATTTTATTTTATTTTCACCAATGATAGAAAATAAGTAATAAAAATAATACTTTAAAAATAATGAAATGAGAAATGAAATTATTTTGACTTCTTTCTCCAAGGCCCATAGGGAAAGTGGGGGATGCTTTCCTCTTACCCAACAAGCCAGAACTCAATGAAAAAGGGAGAGTCACAGGCCCATGAGGCAGATAACGAATGTCCTGACTCCTTGGCTGGAAATTAGCTGAGACATAAGACCTATTATAGCCATTTTTTTTAAAGGTTTATTTTATTTCTTTTATACAAGCACTGGTACAGTCAGAAGCGCAGGAGGTGAGAGGATTCACCAGAGCCAAGCGGGGAGCAGAACAGGCAGACTGGCGAAGCACACTGCTGAGGGAGCAGCGGGCAGCAGGAGAGGTCTGCTGTGCCATGTGGGTCCCTCCTCGGTGGCCGGAGCAGCCGGGGATCGAACCGGCGCTGCAGAGGCTGCGGGCATCTTCGCAACCCAGCACTCAACCACTGCACCACTGGGGAGGCACCTATCCTTTTGTTTTATGGGTAGGAATGTTTTGTTGATTTTGTAGAATGAGATCTTCAAGAGTTAGGTATTACCAAGAACATGTAATACATTATCTCCTGGAGTTCTGCTCTGGCATGTGGCTCTACTCTCCTTGTTTCAATTGTCTAAAATGCCAATTCTGATAGGAACTCTTTTTCAGCGTCATTGTCCCCACTTCATAGAGGAGTCAACAGACTTTAAAATATTATGTAATTTGCTATGATTTTACTGGTGGCATGTGACAAAGTGATACATTAGACTCAGATCTGTTCAGCTCTGAAGCATGTAGGACAACTCCTATTTAAGACACTGGATAATCACAATAAGCAGATCCCTCTGTTGTTCATGTTCCTATGAAGCTTGTAGTGGGTGAGAGAGACTTCAGTAGGATACTCACAAATACGCAAGACAAATAAGTGTCTTATCACCAAATGAGACAAGTGCTTCAAATTACATGAAAGTGGTTCTAGGTAAAGAGGGGATCTGGTTTTGGGTCAGAGTCCCCTGCTGATATGAAGAATGAAAGAATAATGGGGTGAGATAAGGAAGGGAAGAAGGCAGACTCCAGGTAGTGGGGAAACTCCAGTTGAAACTCAAACTCCTAGGAGGTGAAGAAGCCCAAGCCTTCTAGTTCAGGGATCGGGTCAGGAGACACGGGAAGCTGAGTCACCAAAAGTAGAAAAGTGGCATGTGAAAAGGTAATGCTAGAGTTTTTTAGGCACCACACACAAGTCCAAGACAAGAATTTTAGTCTTCACCATTAGGTACTAGGTGCCTTCTTTCAATTCTGTAATTGAGACCTTGGATCCACCAACGCACTGCAGTATTTTTCAGGTAAGTAAGAGGTCCATATCAGGGGCTCAGTATATCATATAGATTAAAAACAAACAAAAAAAAAACAAAAAAAAAGAAGAAGAAGGGACTCTCAAAAAGGCCAGACAGACCTGGCTTCAGCACTTGTTAACCATGAAACTGGGTACATTTAGCTACCTGTAGACCTTTCAGTCTCCTTACTTCACCACAGCAAGAATAGTGCCAGCTTTATATGTTTGTGATGAGGAGTGAATCAGCAAGTGGTGCCCACTCAACTGACCTGTAGCACATGTGAATACATGACCATAACAGGAATAGCTGTGGTCATTGCTTCCCTTCACTGTCCTCAAGAAGGTTATGTTTCCTTTGGATGCTCTGCCAAGAGGGATGGGTCTCACCTCTGGCTTCTGGAGACTTAGTGTGTGCCTTTTCTAAACAGCTGGGGTTGCAATGGTTAAAATTTGGAATAGAAAGCACTCTCCTTTGCCTTACTAATCAGAGCATGAATTTCTGAGCAATTTCAGCTGCCTCTGTCCTCATTAAATGAATGAGGGGGCCACTCTCTCCTATCACATAATGAACACATAACCATCGTGGTTTGGAAAATGAGAAAATAAAACCAGGTATATTAAGAATACAATCAGAGAAATAATGATAACACATCAAAGTGTCCTTGTTCAGGATGAAAACACACACATAACTTGTCTCAAGAAGTGGTCGGGAGGAGATTATGTGGGGAGAGACATTTTATTAACAAAGGATGGAGAGCAGTAGTATGCTGCCATTCATACAGATAGACATATGGAGATATGTGAGATTTTATAAATATTCTGAATTTTAGAATTAAGAGAGTAAAATGAATTTGGATGGTTCAATTTAGGAAAACCATAATAGTGAAACTAATAGGCATAATTCTATTCTTTTCTGTCCAGCTGGATCCATTAATAGTATTATTGAAACTTCCATTGAATAAGTACCTGCTGTGCTCTAGGACCTGCATCTGTTCTTTGGATCTAGAAAAACACAGATTTTGTCGAACATAGAAGATCTCATTTTTTGCCTCCCTGGTGGTGCAAGGGTTAAGCACCACACTATGATAAATCTGCAGCCTCTGCAGCATGAGTTCAATCCCCAGCTGGCCAGGGAGCAAACCACATGGCACAGCAGACCTCTTTGTCTCACCCGCTGCACCCCTCAGCAGTGTATTTCAACCGGTCTGCCTGTTCGGTTCCCTGCTCTGTCTCTGGTGAATCCTCTCACCCCCTACCTCGCTGGCCTGTACTCCTGTCTCTTGTATGCATAAAAAAATAAATCTTTTTTAAAAAAATCTCATTTTTACCTAAAATTTTCTACCAGGACTTAGAAGAATGATATTAAAGGAGTCTTCACATTTTCTGAACAGCAATTCCTTCCGTGTAAAAAGTGGGGCAATAGTGCCTACTTATGGAGTTGTTGTTGAGGGAAATTAGATGGCCATCTGTCATAGTGTGGCAAACCCAAACAGCATAATTGGACTGAGATATGCGTTATGAACATGGCTTACGTTAGTCCTAAGCACAGAGTGTACAGATGTGTCAGGGCTCCACAGTCCCTTTCTTCAACATGTTAGCAGCCCTGGTCCTCAATTTATTGATAAACTTCTATTTCTTTGTTTTCCAGGTGAATCTGGCATTCTTTTCCACACTGAAGACTGTGATGAATCCCTCTTTATTACTAGAGTGTTACAAATAGCAGGCATAGAGCATGGACCCAAGAACTTTTTACTTAACTTAAGTATGGTCATCAATATGAAATTTAGGGCTATGACTGGACCTCTTCTAGGCAAGTGGTGATGATCTTGTACATTGAAGACAACAGAAACATATACAGAGCACACAACAAAGGAAACCCAAGCATGACTTTGGTGGCCAGTGGATAATTTTACTGACATATGTTCCATGCTTGCATACAATGATCTCTGTCTCTTAAAATGCTCATAAGCTTCCATTTCTAGCGAGAAAAAAGTGACAGGAACTGTGTTACCATCCTCCTTACAAAAAAATTAACATCAAAACAGAGAGAAAATTTGTCTTTAAGATACCAACAATGAAACTTGGATTATATAATAGGTGTATATTGAACTTATGCAGAAACTGCCATATTGTTTTTCAAGACAACTGTGTCCTCTCCCTTCCTTTCTTTTTCCTTCCATGCATCATTTTCTTTCTCCCTCGTTGGTGTGTGTGTGTGTTGTGTGTTGTGTGTGTGTGTTTTTAATGAGAGCTCCAGTTCCTCTTCATCTTTCTTCACCAGCACTTGGTACAGCTAGACCTTTTAATTTAGCCATCCTCATGGGTCTATAGTGATATGGCATTGAGATTTTAATTATCATTTCCTTGATAGATGAGCTTTTTATATAATAATAAAAAAAAATTTGACACGCAAGGCCACAAAATTTTTCTCCTTGTTGTTGTCTAGAAGAATTGCAATCTAGGTTTTACATTGTCTGTGATCATTTTGAGTTAAATGTATATATTTTGAGATATGACTTCTTTGTTGGATTACATTTGATAACATTGTTATTAGAATATTGACTCTTGCTTATATGAAGGATATTAGATTTTGTTTTTAAGACAGATAATTTTATATGATAGATAAATGGTTTCCCTATTTTTGGCATCCAATTTCTTTTATTTCAATGTAAAATGAAGCCATTTTTCAATTGAGGTAAAATGAGTATCTCATATTCTTGAAATTTCTATATTAGTTGGTTTTTATTTTCCAGGGTGAGTTCTATTAGGGAAGGAAAGCTGACTCTGATTTACCGTGGTATAATATATAAAATGTTTAGATTTGTAAATTAGAATTAATGCAAATGCAAATTCTGAACTATGTCAGCACAATGGAGTTGGGTGTGTTGGTATAAGACAGTCAATCTTTCTGGTGGAAGATATAGCAGGAAATCTGGATTACATACCTCTAGCACTGCCATTTGCAAAACAATATCCAGCAATGAATGTAATTAAGATTAGCATAGAGTAGTTTGGATGATATGGTTTAGGTACTGCAATCAATCAGACAAAAAAATGTAGTGGAAAAGCTAGAATTAGCTAGAATTCAGGCATCCATCTTTAGTAAAGGAGAGGAGTGAATGACCTGGGGGGACATGAGCAAATTAATCCGAGGAAAAATAACGTAGATAAATTATACCTAAATTAGGAAATGCTAACCATCGTTTGATGGCTTACACAATGAGAGACATTTGAGTTATATTTGTCTTCCTTTGGATGATCTCTATGGAGATGAGTTACTGGGGGTCTCTTCGCTGTAGAAGGTAACTCTACATCCCATTCCAGAGGGTGATTGATGGGGTAGAGAGAGCATGGGAGGTGCAGTTAGCATCATTCTTGGTGAGCGACTCAATACTCTAAATGTGCCTTCTCATTGGAAAACTGGAAGTGATTCCTCTCTGTTGCTGGAGAGGGGCATGCAGAGAGATTTCAGCCAGTGGCACTGCCTTTGTTCAGCTGAGCGACGACATATGTGCTCATTTCACATTCTCAGTCGGCATGAAAGTTCCTTAAATACCTGCTTGCCCCTTTCTGCTCTGTTCAGGGGCAACTCCAGGTGTGTTCACCTACCCAGACATCACTGTCATGGTAGGAGCTCATGGTAGGAGCTCTGACTTGCATGCTTTCCTGGATAGTCTGCTGGGTCTCAGGCCCAACTCCAGAATGGCACCTAGGGAGAGGTTGAGATGAAGTCCCACCAGCTCTCAGTTGAATGTTGCACAATTTTATTGAACATTTTAAAAGCCAAATTCTAGCAGAAAGAAAAAGAAAGTCTTTTATATATCTTTACCTCATAAATAAATAAATCAACATTCCTTCCTGAGAAGTAGCATGAAAAATGTCTTTGCTTTAGTGGAAACCTCGTAATAGAGGTCTTGACCTTTTGCCATCAGCAGATGTATAAGCTAAGGTCTCAGACAAAGATGAATGTTGATGATTTCTTTTCTTACTTCCAAGCCTCACAAAAGATAGTGTGCCTGAGAGTTCACAAGAAAATCAGGATTTGTCATTGTTTCTAAGTTTTATTATTTAATGGCAAACAGTTTAAAGTCACAAAATAATGTTTTTATGTTTCACTGACTGTGTTTTGATTACCATGCTAATTATAAGATTCTCAGAAAGTGGAGACTTTAATGTTGTTTCAAAGTAAAGCACTTGTTCAGAGACCATCAGAGCAGGATCACTCCATTATTTCGCATCAAAAAGTAAAGCAAGTCTTTCAGAGATGGACGGACAAGCTAATTTCTTTTTCCATATATTGTGATACAAACTTGCAACACACTAGGAGCCAGGGGATTTCCATATATAAAGCTCCAAAGCAGACCATTTTGTTGAGAGTGGAGGGACAATAGAGGGGATCTCGGTAGGTGTGATGGCAACAGGCACAACTATTTTGGGAGACAACTCTGACATGTGTGTGAGTTCTCCTCCCACCTGAATGGGCTCCTGCAGCAGAGCCCAAGCTGGTTTCACCATCATGATTTTTCCGGGATCCCACATCATTTCTGAGGCTCCCAAAATGAGGCACAGCAGACCTCTAACTGGAATTAAGACGCTTCTTATTGTGATTTCACAGGGATCAAAAGCTAGAGATAAAAGAAAACAGCACATCCTGCTCTGTGTCCTCACTCCTCAGCTTGAGGGCAGGTTTTCTGTCCCATCACTGACTTCCTGCTGTTCGATTTCATGGGACTTGTTTCTCACCATATCGACTGTTGCTTCTTCCCCTGAGTCTCACCAGTAGGAAAAAAACATGATTTAGGCTGAGGTCAAAGTGTTACAGGGCAGCCCCAGGGGAAAACAGGGTGACTTGGATGAATCCTGCAATTAGGATCATGGGACAGAAACTCCCTGGTGGCCCAAGGGGTTAAGATGCAACTTATGAAGCTGTCCGCAGCCTCTGCAGCACAAATTCAATCCCCAGCCAGGGAGCTACCCACATGGCGTAGCAGATCTCTCCTGCCTCGCCTGCTGCTCCCCTCAGCAGTGTGTTTCAGCCTTTCTGCCTGTTCTGTTCCCTGCTCTATCTGGTGAATCCTTTCATCTCCTCCCTTCCCCTGCACCTATAGCCTGTACCCCAGTTCTTGTATGAAATAAATAAATAAAAAAAAAAAGATTTGGGACAAGACCAAAGGTAGGCACAGAGAGAAAAAAAATAAAGGTTATTTGCAGGGAAGATGAGAAGAGGAATGCACAGAGAAATGTTAATTGGTCAATACACCCTATCCGTAACACCATCTGAGCTGAGACCTCAGGGTGCAAGGTGAAAGCAGGGAAAGCAAAAGAGCACAATCCCACAGGTGTTTAATTTTATACCCAGCGGGACTGTTTAACTCCCAGCAATCCCCAACTCATCTCCCTTCTGGAGGTCAGACTCATGGCATGCTGGGAATTTTAGTCCTTGGTGCCTGAGATCTCTTTATCATGGTGATGAGGTGGAATCTATAAAAACATCATGGGTAGAGTTCATTCAGGACAAACTGTTCTTCCAACAACTGGTGTGCACCAGCCTCATAGTCCCACCACAAAGACCAGGTCAAGTCTACGGAAAAGAAAAACATTTTCTAGACCAGATATCATGTTGTGAGGGAGTCCCACTGTTCTCTCTCTGCATGGTGATCAATTGTCAGCAGGCTTATACCACGGACATTACAGGGGCTTTGGAGAGCCCAGTCTATTGTTCTGAACTCTGGGGTGCGCGCAGACCAGCACAGCAGTAGACGATGAGGCCATCTCAGGGTGAGCGGACTGTGCAGGGTTGTCATGGATTCGGTTAAAGAAATGACAAACAGACACACTTCAACGAAAGTGTAAATCTGAGCGTAACTTTATTTGAGTCAGTGGTCAGTATATATATGTTCTCTAAAGCATGGAACAGTGAACATCAAAGAAATCAGCTTGCTCATAGGTTTAGCTTATCATTGACAGGGCAGTGATTTTATGTCCAAAATACATCTGGACCTAGCCTTATTCCTAAGTAGACAGGCTATTAACTTTATATTTTTTGTTCTACATAATTATATTCTTGTTGAACTACTTATACTACTACTTACTACTCTACTCATGTTTACTTATAATTTAATTGTCATGGTGAATTTACATTATCATGCAAGTTAATATCAAAGGTACTAAAGTCAGCACATAACAGAAAGATTATTAACCAACAATTCTATTATAACACAGTGTTTAGTAATGCTTCATTGCATTAGCCTAATTATTAAATTATGTATGTTTTTTAATTAGCAATCAATGACCAGAAAAAGAAAAATTTTAGAGAGACAGTTGTAGCAGAATAAAGTTTGTGGCTTTGAGAAAGCGAGATAGGTTCCAGGTGGTCAGCATTTCTTTTAATCATCTTTGTGGCAGCTTCTGGTGGTCATTATCTTTTGGCAGGCATTCAGCTTCTCTGCATCTTAAGGTGTTTGCTGTTCTCCCCCTGCGCGCATGGTTCCTTGCCCACGCCGGACCTCAGGGACATGGCAAGAGCCATAGCCCTGAGGGTCACTGCAGGGGGAGTGCAGCACTGGGGCAGTGAGCAGGCCTGGACCTTGGTAGAGCTAGAAAGATCCAAGAAGAGGTATTCCCCTTCCAAGGTTAGTAACTGAATACAACAGGCTTCCTAGCCAAATTCTGTCTCCCCATTCTACCTGAGGTGTCTTCACAATACCATCCAGTGTGTGAACAATGGGGTTAAGTATTAGGTGAGAAAACCCTCCATCTCATCCTACTGCCCATCCCCCCCCCCATCCAGCAGCTGACCATGCCAGAGAATCAGAGTCCCACAATGGCAAGCTTTCAGGAGAGGTGAGGGGTTTGCTGAGTGATGACCTGTGGAAGGGCTATTAACTGCAGCAC